GAGAAAGGCAGAGAGAGAGAGAGAAGGGAAAAGAAAAGCAGGAGAGGATTCTGATTTCTCCTCCATTTTCCCTTGTCATTTATAACAGCAGCAGTATTTTGAGAGATCTGGTGCAAAGCTACAACAGTCAGTCAGTATTTGCCCAAGGTTTATTGTTACTCAGGAGCTTTTTGCCACAAAACCCCGGTGAGGCTGGTGAGCGCTTCGTGGGGAGAAGATGGATGCCTTGATTAAAAACCAGGACTTACCCAGCAGTTGTCCCAGGAAGGCAGTGAGGACGAGAGCTGCGGTGCATGCTGAGACCCAGCCTCCTGTTTGCTGAGTGAGAAAGAGGCAGAAAACCACCTCCCAGCCCCAAGATGACAGAGCTGCAGGAAATGACTCTGCTGGCTCCACAGGCAGGGCACTCACTGCCATAGCAACACGCACAGGTAACAACACCATTTCTCTTATAAGCCCTAAGCTCAGAGCCAAGCCCTGTTCCTCCTCTCTGCCTAATCAGGACTGCCGTTCCCCAGTGGAAGCACACACTTTCACCCACCAGCTTCACAAGCACTCCCACAGTCTCACAGACCATCAGTGTGAGCAGGGGTCCTCAGCACATCCAGTACCCCTGCCTGGAGCCTGGCTTTTCTTACCCTGCATGTGGGTCTCCTCCTTTGCTCAGGATAGGCCAGCCTGCTGTTTGCTGGCCAACAGATGTGTGCAATCTCACACATCCCCACACTCATTTTGATACAATCATAGAATCACAGAATCACTCAGGTTGGAAAAGACCTTAAAGATCATCGAGTCCAACCTCAACCTAACCATACTACCCTAACTCTAACAACCCTCTGCTAAATCATATCCCTGAACACCACATCCAAACGGTTTTTAAACACATACAGGGATGGTGACTCAACCACCTCCCTAGGGAGCCTATTCCAGTGCTTAACAACCCTTTCTGTAAAGAAGTGTTTCCTGATATCCAATCTAAATTTACCCTTTAACAACTTGAGGCCATTTCCCCTCGTTCTGTCACCTGTCACCAGTGAGAAGAGACCAAGCCTGCTCTCACTGTAAGCATCTTTCAGATATTGGAAGAGAGCAACAAGGTCTCCCCTCAGCCTGCTTTTCCCCAGACTAAACAGCCCCAGTTTCTTCAGTCTCTCCTCATAGGGCATATTCTCCAAGCCCTTCACAAGCCTTGCTGCCTCTCTTTGGACCTGCTCCAGCACTTCAATGTCCTTTCTGTACTGAGGTGCCCCAAACTGAACACAGTACTCTAGGTGAGGCCTCACCAGTACTGAATACTGAATTACTTCCTTGGTCCTGCTCACCACACCATTTCTGATACAAGCCAGGATGCCATTGGCCTTCTTGGCCACCTGGGCACACTGCTGGCTCATATTCAGCTGACTGTCCATCAGTATACAAAGGTTCATTTCCATCAGGCAGCTTTCCAGCCACTCCTCCCCAAGCCTGTAGGGTTGCCCAGGGTTGCTGTGACCAAAATGCAGGTCCCAACACTTGGCCCTATTGAAACTCATACAGTTTACTGTGGCCCATTGATCCAGTCTGTCCAGGTCCTTCTGCAGTGCCCTTCTACCCTCTGGCAGATTAACACTCCCTCCCACCTTGGTGTCGTCTACAGACTTCCTGAGTGTGCACTCAATCCCCTCATCAAGATCATTCATAAAGATATTAAATAGAAGTGGCCCCAGACTGAAGCCCTGGGGGACAGCGCTCGTGACCGGCAGCCAACTGGATTTAACTCCACTGACCAAAACTCTTTGGGCCCACCCACCCAGCCAGTGTTTCACCCAGCGGAGCGTAAGCCCATCCAAAACGTGGGCAGCCAGCTTTAAGCTGAATAGTGACTTGATCCACAGATGAGGCAGTAGCCCTCACAGGAAACACAGCTTACAGTGGCCTTTGCTGAAACTGCACCTCACTGCCAAAGGCCCTGAATTCTGTCACAGAATCTCGTAGTCTGACAACAGAGCTACTGTGGGGATCGCTTGAAAGTGTCTGTGACCTCGACATGTCGTGCTCGTGAAGGTGTGCAGCTGGAACGTCTCACTGAGAAGGATGCCGAGCAGTGCGAGGGACACGTTCCATGTCAGCAATGGCAGCTCGGGCGGGGCCGGGAGGGAGGAGCGGCAGCGCCCCCTGCGGGCCCGGACGGCACTGTGCCCCCGCCCCGCCCAAAGCGGTTCGTGCCCGGCCGCAGCCCCGGCTTCGCTCCTCGTGGGTCCACGGCGCAGTAATACACGGCCGCGTCGCCGAGCCGGGGCCGGGCGAGCCACAGGGCGCTGGAGCGGCGGTCTGCCGACACCGACAGCTGCCCCTCCGGGTCCGGCACCTCCTTGGAGCCTCTAACGGCGCTGAGGAGGAATGTGAGACCTCTGCCTGGGAGATGACGGTACCAGTAGATGTAGCTGGCTTGTATACTGGGGTGTGAGCAGGTGATGTTGATGCCGGTGCCCTCGCTGGTCTCTGCCGACGTATCTTGCTGCACCTGAGCTCTGCTCACAGCCACTGCCGAGAACAAAAAAAAAAGTCATAAAATCCATTTTCTCCATCAGAAGATTTCATGCAGAGGAGAGAGGAGAAGAAAAATGGTTGACAGAGGAGAGGAACACGTTCTGAGAAGACAGAAAGTCTTACTGACTGGTTGTCTGCACTCAAAAAAAGAGCTGGTATTTTTGGAAGGACAGGCCGAGCCAGGAGGAAACAGGAACGAGGGCAAAAGGCCACGCGGCAAGCAGCAGTGAGGGGAGGGATATTTAAAGGAGAGCAGGGAGAATGTCCAAACAGGAGGGAGGGGTGAACTGAACTCCCTGGAGGCAGCCGAGCTGAACGCAGCAGGGACGAAAAAGAAGGACATCATGTCGGAAAGAAGACCCCGCAGTTCGGCCCCGCCAGCAGCAGCCCCGCGCACCCAGAAGCACCGCGGCCAGCCCCGCCAGCCTCGGAGCCCGGCACGGCCGCATCTCGCCGCTCCGCCGCCCGCACCCCGGTGCGCTCCCCCCGCCAGCCACGGCTCTGCTCCGCCCGCGCCGCCTCCTCCTCGCCGCCGCCACCAGCTCCGCCCGAAGGGGCTGCGCCCTGCGCCGGCGTCACTCGGGCTTGCTCCGGGCTGCGAGTGCTGGGCGCCTGTGCGCGGGTAGCGGGGTTTGGGCTCTGTGTGTCCTGCAGCGTAGCCCGGGCTCGCACGCGTAGGCGGAGAGGTGAGGAACGGCTGCGAAATCTCCGTCGGGATAGTAAAAGGCAACTGTTCACCTGCAGCATCCTCAGC